CTGAAAAGAGCTGTTTTTGACAGGGTAAAAAAGGTGTTTTTTACACTACCATTGAGAAATTTTAACCAAACTATGTTACAGACTTTTCATTCAGACCCTAAAGAATCATATCAACTTGTGGAAAATGGGCATCCTATGACCCCTTTAAGTGTGTGTATTACAGAGTCTCAGGTTCCAGGAGTCCCGAGTTCTCTTCATGTTCGTCCGCTGGTGAACCGAATCGTGGTGAGTTGGACTCCTCCAGAAAACCAGGACGTTTTAGTCCGAGGTTATAAAATCGGATACGGAATCGGCAGCCCTCATGCCCACACGGTCACTCTGGATTACAAACAGCGCTTCTACAGCATCGATAACCTCGGTGGGTGTAACGCCACAAATACTCAGTCACATGTCGACATTAGGTGTGTTTACAGACGTTTATTAATGTTTCCACTCCAGATCCCAGTTCCCATTACGTCATCACCCTCAAGGCTTTCAACAACATGGGCGAAGGCATTCCCATCTACAACAGCGCCACGACGAGACCTCAATCCGGTACGACACGCAAACACACTGAATGCATGATCGTTTGAGGTTTTTACTGTGGCAGCTTTCGCATGTCCATTCAGACAGGATCAGATGACAAAAATACATACTTCATGTTATTTTGAAGCATATTTAGCACGATTAACTGTGTCTCTCTTCTATCTAGCATCAGACATGTTTCTGTTTTCTGTTTTTGTACTAAAAACGAAGCACGGTGTAAATCTGTAACGCTTCAGGCTAGGGGTGTGCGATACTGGCTAAAATTATATAATCTCGATATTTTCTGGGATTTTATCGATAACGATAATTAGACGATATTTTGCTGAGTGTGTTATTGTTCTGGTACCTTAAAGGGTTAGTTCACCCAAAAATTTAAATTAGCCCATAAATTACTCACCCTCAAGGCATCCTAGGTGTATATGACTTTCTTCTTTCAGACGAATCCAGTCGGAGTTATATTAAAGTTTGGAGTTATTTTTGTTGTCGAAATAGAGCAAAAACAGGCAATATGCTGTCTAAAACGTAAGTCTTTTAATTAACTTCTTGTTTATTGAACCTCTGTAAAAAATCAATATCACGTTTGTAATCATGGTGATATTTGGAGAAAAACGGCACTCTTCGTGTGAAATTAATTATTAACTATATGACATGGCATAAATATATACATTTTCTGCCATCATGTCTTGTGTATTTGTGATCATTCTAAATGCATTTTAATAGACTGAATCATGCAGTGAAAGAACGCACTCTAAATGCGCTCGCGCACTAGTCTAGACTGATGTATGTGTGCGCTCTGTAGTGGTGTTTTGAATGGTTTTTGCAAAATACTCGATAATGTCAAATCGCACATCGTTAAAACAACAATTACGATATTATCGCAGACGATATATATCGCACACCCCTCAGGCTCTAGAAATCAGTCTGACGTTGTTTTGTAGTAGAGAGAAACTACAATCTCTTCCTCCTGTTAAATGTGAGGTGACAGATACTGCCCCCCTCGGTTCTGGGACACGCGGCGTGTCACGCTAGCGCACATCCAAACCTACAGGTGTAATGTGTGCGCTCACAGCTCTCTTTCTTTCACTGTACGTCAGGTGTCTCAGACAGAACGCCGCTGTTAGAGCTTTCCAGACCCCCTGCCGTCCTGTCAGGTCGAGATCTGCGTCAGATCCCACTCTGTCAGCTTCACACAACTTTTCTGACAGACCTGAAGACTCCAGTTTCCTAAGCTAGAGCGCGAAATGACCCAGAAATTAGTTAGTTTGCCGAGGATGAGCGTTAGCTTGTTTGCAGCAATCATTTATTGTCGTTTTCTGCTGAGCCTGCTTATTTTGTTGTTGACAAAAAAATCTGTGGATATTTTCACAGAAAAATCAGTAGCAATTCCAGGTGTATCTTAATTAAATTCAGAGCTCTGTTGATCAGCAACATGCTGTTAATTACAGGATCATTTGGATTTGTCCCTCTTAAATTAGCCACAAATAAAAAAATGCTGGAGCAGGATAGACATGAAAATCCACACTAAAAGTAAAACCACAATAATAAAAGCTCTGTAGTTAGAAAGTAAAGAAATTAAGACAGCCATAAATAGTAGTATTGTAATTTTACTGTTTTACTGTAAAATAGTTACATTTATTGTATTAAAGTTTATTAAAATGTATTTTTACTATCATTATCATTAAATAATATTATAAATATTACTATTATACATTTTTTACTTTACAGTAAAATAGTATTATTGCAATAGTAATATATTTTTGGTATTTCTATAAATCAAATAAAGTAAAAAAATATTTTGAATAATAATTTTTATTATTATTAAATACTGTAATAATAATAATTATTATAAATACTATTTTTTTATTTTACAGTAAAATAGTATTATTGCAATAGTAATATCTTTTTTGTTTTTTCTTATGTTTTAATATTGTTTAAATAATAATAATAGTTATTTTATTATTATTATTATTATTATACATTTCCATTGTAAGTGCATCACTGTGCATGCAAATTTTTTACAATCTGAGGGATCAGTTGAAATGATTTTCTGTGGTTATCTTCTCAGATACTGACCTTAGAGCTTAAGTTGTATTAAGCTTATATTATTTCTTTAATCAGTGAGTATTTTTCTGTATACAGTGTATACGATATAATCCATGACTCAGCCTGTAATATTTTTGCATATATATACTGTTTCAGTTTAAATATGGGCCTTCTTAATTCTAATCATATCTCTCTTTCTCTTTTTCATTAATTTTTCCTCTCACTTGTCCACACCTGAACCATTAATCCGTTTTATGCCGCCTAACCCTGATCAATCCTCTCATATTTTTGAAACCCATGTGATTTTGTTGTTTTTTATTTTGTTCTCCATTTATCATGATTTGCTCTGACTCATCTGTGTGTGCCGCTGCTGTCAGACCCCATAGATGCTGATATTGATTTTTATGAGCTCTTTAATAACCCATACACCCCAGCACCCGACCCCACACCCATGCTGCCCCCGGTGGGCGTTCAGGCCACCGTCCTCAGCCATGACACTGTCAAAGTCAGCTGGGCCGACAACTCGCTCGCCAAGAACCAGAAGATCACCGACTCCAGATATTACACCATCCGCTGGAAGACCAACATCCCCGCCAACACCAAATATAAGGTATCCACCGCCTCGAAGGAGTGCTGTTTGATCATAGTGATTCGTTTGGTGTTCAAAACTGCTTCATTTCACTTGAACTGATGTTCTAAAGTGGATTAGAGGATCATAGTAGTTAACTAAAACCATTAAAAAAATGTGTGACCTGAAATAAACATTAACTGAAATAAAATGTAAAAAAAATATTTTTTATAAATAAATAAGCTAGTTGCCAACGCAGCATTTCTCATTTTCATTTTATTTAACTTGATTTAGAAAAATAATAACTAAAATTAAACTGAAATAAAATTAATGAAACTATATAGACATTTTTTAAAAATTTCAAAAACATACAACAAAATTACTAAAACTTTGTGACATTAAAAAAAACTGAAAATAAAAACGAATTGAAAACTATTAGTCAAAACTACAATAGTAGCTCAATGATACTAAAATAACACTGATTCTGAAGAGTATTTCAGTTTTAATTTTCTGTGCATAGAGCGCCCTCTAGTGTTCACTGTCTCAGAGTGTGTTGAATGGAATACTAGTGTACTGCTTACTGCATACTACATAGTCAAATGTGTTACAGTATGCAGTGATAAACTTTATTAATGTGTTTGTCTGCTGCTTGTTTTGTCAGACGGCAAACACCACGACCCTGTTCCATACGGTAACGTCTCTGAAACCCAACACGCTTTATGAGTTCTCCGTTATGGTGACCAAGAGCCGCAGGAGCAGTACATGGAGTATGACGGCCCACGGGACCACCTTTGAGTCCAGTAAGATCACACACATTCACAGCATTTTACTATTATACAGAAATAAATGACATTTTTACTATAATATTTTCTCTTATATATCTATACGCACATATATATATATATATATATATATATATATATACATGTGTATATATATATATATATATATATATATATATATATATATAAAATTACATAAAATTCCATTAAATATGACTTATGGTTGAGGAGATTATGGTTGAGGAATTATTATTAATTATTATGACATTGTCATAGTAAATATATTAAATATATATTTCATTTAGTGTAATTATTTTTATTATTGTTGTTAAATGCAATCCTGCATTTAATAGCCATTTCATCTAGTTTTATCTCATTAAACATGTATGCAGCAGTTTTTCCACACAAGTTCCCAATTATGTTATGACTTTCAAGAGCATTTTATTATATAAAATGTATTTCGTAATTTCTTATAATTTGTCTGTAGATGTGAACAAAACATGGGTTCTCTCAACCTGCGCACAATATTTTTTTGTTTGTAATATCAAAAATTTATGCATAAAGTACATCAAACTGAAAACACAGATGTTTAGTGCCAGGATGCATGCAAAATGAGTGCATATTTAATTAATGTCTTATTTGCATTTTGTTCTCAAAGTTCTTTTATTGGTTTTTCAATACAAATCTACGGTGGCCGTGAAGTGCAAAGCAAATCACAATTCTGGAAACAAAATAACAAATTA